AAGATTGAATATTACTAAGAATTTTCTTGTCCTTTCTTATTTGTAAAATTATATTACTAATCTCGATATATCAACTATAGCAATATGGCATACAATTTTTATGCAAATGGGTGGGCACAAATCTCTTACTACCATGCAACACGTGGTAGGAATTGCCTAATCTCCTTAAAACAATGTAGTTTTGTTTACTACCAAATTGAAGCAAAATAGTAAGTGCCATTTAAGCAATTTTTTACCAGCACTTCAAGAAAAGTGCCATCATATGGGTGCCAGTGAAGGCAAATTTTCTTGTAGTGGTAATAAAATCCAATGGTACAATATTTGGAGTTAGATAACACATTAAGTCATTTTTTCAAATCTATGTTACAAAAGAAAGTAGCCTGTGAGAACTCGTAATTTTTCCCTTTTCTAGGTTTTATTATATTCAATGGCATGTTTTTCTGCATTTTCTTTATTAGGAAAGTTTCTAGATAATTTTTATGGGTAAATATAGTTTTTAGATGATTTTTTCTAGTATTGGTAGATTTTGAGAAATTAAGAGCGTATACCGGACGTGGGACCCACTAAGGCGAAAAGTTCGGAAAAATTCGGTCAACTAGGTTAAGTTTTGGACACTGGGTTTAAATTATCGGGTGCTAAGAGATAAGTAGAGGTTACCCAAGTGGATTGGTGTGAGAGGAAACAAAGTGATAGCTATGCATTTAATGAAGTGACAAGTGTCACTTAGAGATTGGTTGTACTTTATTACTACTATTCACCTTTTACCATTTGACTAAATAAATCAAAAAAATTACCAAAAATTCACCATTTTCTTCTTCTTCTTGGCCGGCCACTTCAAGCAAAAAGAAAGGGTAAAGCTCTTCAAATACTGGCTTCCATCTTGCTCAAATTCAACAAATCAACCATTTGATCTTGCATTTGTTCCATAAAACCCCTTCACTTAGTGATTGTGAGGTGTGTAGTGGAGTTGCTTGGAAGGCTAAAGGGATTAGTTGCTCCCTCTCTTGTATTACTAAGGTGAGTAGTGAAGGAACCCCTCTCCTCTATCTAATGATGTTTAATTCATGATTTGTGGTAGCCTAAGAGGGAATTTTATGGATTATATCTTGATTTTGGTTGAATTTGGTGAAGTTTTATAATTATTGATGATTTTATGTTTTCATATGATTATCATGGTGTGGCTATGTATGATGATTGGAAATGCTCTAGAATGAAGCTAGAAGGTGTATGTGGTGGTTAATTGCAGGAAATTTCTGTTTTGGAAAGAAATTTGGAAAGTTAGGGTTTCATTATTTTACATTCTGCCCGGCACAGTACCTCATAGTTAGAGGCCGAATTGGCATTGGGTTAAAACATGAAAGTTGTAGGGAATGATATTTTAGAGATGCCTACAAAATTTTAGGTCAATCGGAGCAACGTAACTTGAGAAAAGACTGAAATACCCCTGCTGCCCTGGTTTTACCCGAATTTGATAATTGCATCTGTAATTGGTTAATTTGGTTGGGAATACTTTTGATTTGGTTGTTGGTGCCTTCTGATGAATTGTAACCTTGTATTTTAGCTTTCGGATGGCTTTGGAATCACTTGATTTGGACTTAGGTAGCCTGACTTATGATGTTTGAACCAGAATGCGGTTTGTGAACCTGTTTTTGCGGTTTTGGTTTAGTATCTTGCATTTTTGACCTGGTTACACTTGAAACTGGGCAGAGTAACCTTCTTCAACATTGTAGCCCTATCTCTTAGCTTCGAAACGGCGTATGTTGCACCTCCATCCGATAATCGTAGTGCCAATGGTACCAAAACCGCAAAATGATGTCAAAATCTATTTTTTGGGTTAGAGCTTAATTCCATTTCCGGATTTTCCTGGTTTACTCTAGTGCTTACGTATTCTTATGGAGCCCTATTTTGGTGGTATTTGGACTTGGTTTATGACCGGTAATCGAGTCTTATTGTGCTTATTTGAATGTTTTAGGACGTGACGGTGGTCCAAAACGCTCTTAGGCGGAAGTGCATGAAATATCATTTGCTTGAGTGGTGAGTGTACTACTCACTTGTTGTTTACAATGTGGCTTTGGTATATGTGAACTTGATGCCTTGAAGGCTTATTTGCTCCGTTGAAATTGATTGAGTGAGGGTGTACTTGATCGCCCTCACCCATTTGGTATCTCATATGACTGTCTACTGTTTTACTGTATTGATTGAATGATACATGAAATACTGAATTGGTTCATGAATTTGGTGTCGCTTGGACGAGTATCCAACGACCATTACTGATACGACTGAGCTCAACCCCATTGGTAGTCGATTGGATCGAGCCGGCGAGGGTTTGGTCGTGAAAATTGACGAGCCATGGGGACTGTTATATGGAATCTTGTAGTAGTGAGACTCTTGATTCCGGTATACTCGAGTATTACCAAATTTCTACTGTTTGGAGTTCGGGCCTAGTAGGGGTATGTTGGGTGGAAGGAATGGAAGTAAAGTGGAGCCTACGGTTGGTTACTCTTAAACATTGACGGAGGGTCAATGAGATCCGATCAAGAATGCAAACGAGGAAAAAGGCTCTTGAGAGCCGCTCGTATCCTTTTATCACCACTATTGATGTGTGCCTTTGCTTACTTTTTATGAATTGAAATGAAAAACTTGATGCTTATATGAACTTGGTTGCTTGAGTGGTATTATCTCACTGGGCGTAAACTCACTCTATTCCCTTTTGTTTTCCTTACAGGAAAATAAATACTTTTGGACTGGATTTGATAGTTGGTTGCCGAATTGAGCTAGATGGACATATCTTTTGTATAGCTCCTTGATTGAAACCCTAAATGTACTTTTGGGTCCGTTTCTCTTTTGATTTGGCAAACCGTACATGTATCCACTTTTGAATAACTTTTGTATGCCACTTTGGATTGTCTATGCTTAATTGCAACATGTAAATATTTGCTTGATGTTTGGTTGGGTTTTGACGTGTTGGTTACCATTCATGGCCGACTCCGGTTTCATTTTTTTTTATTTTGACATTTTGACTTGTTTACGCGCGTTTGTATGTTTCGGAACGTATTAGATCGCTCTAAACTGAACCGTTAGTCCTGACGAGAGTTGGGCAGGCAGTCCGCTAACCCTTTTGGTTCGTTTTAGGGGAAGGTGGGGCTGTCACATAGCCACCAAGATGCATGAAACTATAAGATGCAAAAATATATTATTTAAATTATAAACACGGAGGTTTTAGCATTGTAGGCACTTCATAAAAGAGAAGAATAAACATGGAGAATATACCAAAAAGAGCACATTGTCTCAGAACAAAAAGAAAGAACATATAAAATTAATGTAATAGTATTCCTACTAAAGAGAAAAAGACACAATAATAGAGATAGTGAGGAGAAAAACAAAACAAATCTATTGGATTCGTTTGGGCCTTTTAGGTTAGTTGAATAAATTGACTAGTTTTTGTTTAAGTTGGGCCTTAATTAGTTCATTAGTTTGGGTAATTAAGTAGTTTAGTTTTGGCTAGTCAAGTAGTCACCTTGATTGTGGCATCGTCTACCTAATCTACACGTTCTTAAACTATTCTTAAACATCTAGGTTTCCATTGCCAAATTTAGATAGCATCCATTATTAAGCAAAACACATAAGTAGTTCACAAAAAAATATGGACAAATTTTGAAGCGTCTGTAACAAAAAAGTAAAACAGTATAGATTTTTGTACATTATCATAGTGGATATTAATAGTTTTGACCCTAAGTAGCTGCACAAACCACTAACCCAAACTATTAAATTGCATAACCAGCTGTTGCGAGGGTGGTGGAGGGGGAAGTGGTGAGGGGGGGAGAGATAGGGTGGTGGGGGAAGGGGAGAAGGGAAGAGAGAAGAAGAGAGGAGGATGATGAGGAAAGGAGGTGAGAAAGAGAGAGAGAGAGAGAGAGAGAGAGAGAGAGAGAGAGAGGGGGAAAAAAGAGGAGAGGTTGAGGCAGCCAGCGGCGGCAACATTAGAGAGAGACGGAGGAAAAAGAGCAGTGGCGATATTAAAATAACAATATTAACCTTAACATTCTAATGAAACTCCTTTATTTGCTATTTTGCTATATTTATACAAAGGATGGGTTTTATAATTCATTTTATAATTTCTCTTTTTATTCATTACTCTTATATTTTGTCAGCAAAATCTCAGTATCATCAATCCCTAGCCTCCATCATGATTAAATGCCGAACTAGTAATATTTTTTTTGATAAATTTGAATATCTTATAATTCTTTTGCAGCTTTTTTTATTTATTTTTTTGGGTATCAAAATCAACAATAAATTAATAATAACTAAAAATAAATTGGTCCAAAATCATTACTAAATTGTAGTAGTTCCACCACTTAACTAATTCACAAACTTTTCAAAAAATTATGGTGACACTTTTTTCTCCATTTTAAAAAGAATCTTTGGCTAAGGCTGAAATCCTAAGCATCAGAGGTTCTGGGTTCAAATCTCTTTACCTCCTTCCCTTCTTGAGTCTTACCCCTTCTTTGTTGGAAAAAATAAACTCTATCTCCAATAAAGCACTATTAAAAGTAGCCTATCCTTGTAATTGATTATCAAATAACAAATATGGGCATAAAAAACTTGACACTTATTCTTTTGTAATAGTGCTAAATTACTATACAATTATTTAGAAGATTAAATTAAACTTTATTATATGAAGGCATTTTAGGATATTTATTAAGTTTTTTTTTACCCTATGTTAAGATTTGGTTACTAACAGTGTCAAATCAAGGGGGTAAGTGTATTTTTAAAACTTTAAGGGAACTTAATGAAATTGATAGAATTCTTAGGAGAGATTTATGAAATTATTCCAAGTTGTTATGAATATAAAGAATTAAAGATAGATATATTTGTTGTTTCAGGGGTAAAGTTGTGACTACACCTAAAGTTCAAGGGTACAATGTGCAATTCACTTAATAAAAAACTAAACAAAATTACTTAAAACCCTGCATCAATGGCTACATGGCCATACTTTGCGAAAACGGATAAGTTTGTCCGGTTTCTCCCTCTCTCAAACAAACCCACAGCCGGAGATTGCCGTCCGGCCGGCGGCGTCGGCGGCAGCAGACTTCTTCAGAAATGTTAGCTTCTTGTCCTCTTTACCATGGCTTATCTTCGCCACAATTCCCAGCCTCGACTAAATACAAGCTTCTTCTCTGCTCATGTGCTTCTTCTTCTGCTCGTTCTCTGCAAATTCACTCTAAAAATCCTCATTTTTTCCCGCTTCACTTACTAAGTTCAAGAAAAAGAAGAAAGGGAGGAAATTCTAGTGGTAGGTTATGGATTGCAGCTTGTTTGGACTCCAGAGGTGGCGGCGCGGCGCCTTACTCCGTGAAAATCCCCGTGGGCAACCGACATGCAAGTCTCTCTGTCTATTTTTCTTCTTTAATTCGTTCTAGTATTGTGTGTTGAAATGCTAATATTGTGATGTACAATTGTTTATGCTTGAGGTACAATGGTGTTTAAATGCTCGGTCCATACTACTTACAATTGCTAGATAAACAGGTAGGTTGCAGTTTCTGATAAAATTCTTTGGGAAAATTCATCACAAAAAAAAAAAAGTACATTGTGATACTGTAATCAGCACAGATACCCTTTACATGATAAATAGTTTGAAATTACAGCCTGTTGATATGCTGGTTTTCCTGGACTTATATGCTGGATGGTGTTTGTTTATCGCTTGATAAGCAATAATGCACAAAGATATTGGATAAACTGAAATAGATAGAATGAATTCTTGGTCATCGGTTCAGCATTTCTTGTCCTTTTTTTTTTATTAAAGATATGGTTTGGCTGGTTCAGACTTTCATTTCCTAAGAGCAGGCTCTAGTTCTAGTTGCAGAGCAACTCTTTTGCAAGGCATTATGCCAGGTTTTGACCCTAACACTTTTTATTTGCACCACCCGTTTTATTCTTGCCATAGATTAGTAATATGATAAAAAGGATAAAAATGAAAAGTATCATTTCCAGAGATAATTATTTTAAAGGAAACAAATGCTATCTTTATAGAAAATTTTCTTCTAAGGCTTCTTTCAAGAAGAAAAAGGAATTGTCCATGAATTGTATTACTAGATTGAATATGCATCTGTAAGTCATGAGGTGTCCTGAGGTATTGTATTTTGCTCTAAACTCCAAGCAGCACGGACCTTGATGCTTTTATAATTGTCTCATGCTGTTCTAGAGAACCTAGGTTCTTTCTCAAAGATGTGTTGTATGATGATGTTTAAGGCTGTTTTAAGATGTAATTGGTGAGAACTGAGGAGATGGCAAAGTTTTCAAATGAATGTTCTTTTGGTTTTAATTATTTGTGTACTGCAGCATGGTTGGAATGTGAAGCAGCTATTTTTCAGATGATTTTTTGACAAGGAGAAATGGGAGACACAGTTTAGAGAGAAATTAAAATTTCATGGCTTCTTGAGAGTCTTACGAAAGAATATATTGGATCTGGCATGTGTGAGAGATATATGTAGATTAGTATCTGTCATTATTTGTTTTTCTATTGCAAATTATATGCAGAATTGAATTGCCTTTCCGAAGAGTTTCTTATGATAATAGAAGTTTGAAATCCTAACAAAGATTCTCCTTGGGAGTTAAAAAAGTTTGGCATGCAAAGTTTCCTATGCTTGTAACTCAAATGGGTGACAGTTGCAAGACCATGAGGAACAAAATTCAACATGGATTGTACTACCTACCAAAATGGCACTTTATGGGGGATTGACAAAACATTTTGTGTTATAAGTGTCTTAGAAGTACTCAGGAGCGAAATCAGAAATATATATTAGTGGGGCAAGTGAACTGAGTAGGTTCCCAATTCTTGAATAATAATGAATCCAAATATCCTTTATATAAAATGCTTTCACATAATTGTGGTATCAATGACGTGGGCATGTATTTTTTTCTTTACACCAACAACAAATTCAGTAAAATTCTACCGCATGAGAGTCCAAGGTTCAGAAACACTGAAGAAAAATTTATAGCAACTTACCTGTTATTATTGATTATGCAATTAGATATAAAATACCATTGAAGTAACTTACTGTTTCTAGCACATATGATCATATAAATTGTGAATGAAATATAATACTCGTAGTTGTTTCATAGCATTTAAATGTTGTGAAAGGAGTGGTAGTTGCTCAGGCAGTGCAACCTGACAACAATCAGAGTGCAAATTTCTCTAGTTTTTACTTGATGGAATGGACCATTCCCCTGCAATTTCTCTCAAGAAGAATCACTAATCATGTGAAACCTGGAATGAAACATTGTCTATTAAAGTAAATATTCCTCTTTTTTGTTGGTAATTTAGAGTGAATAAACATCGAGTTGATGCTTTTTCCGATTGTTGGGAACTATTGAGTTTATGGTTTGATTTTGCAGATATTGATTGAAACAGGTCACATAGGAAGGCAAGCAAGTGGTGCTGTCACGCTGACAGATGGAGAAACTGTATGTATACTTTTGCTGGTTTGGTTGTATACAGGCTTGCTTGATCTCTCTGTCTTGATTGAGCTGGTACCTTAAGGGACAAAGTTCATCAATAATTTCTTCCATTTAAATAGTTGTAACAAATGTATTGTTGTTTTTCTTAGCTATCCTATTTATTAAAGGTGAGCTAGCTTATGTAATTGATGAGTTTGTGACTGCCTTGATATATATTCTTTTTGTTGAACTTTCATATGCTTAGCTTTCTCATTGTGATAGTTACTGTCTGTAGAGTCACATAGGACCTAACTACATAGAGCAAAATGTAGTTATCATTTCCAGAGTAGGACCCTTCTCTGATCTCCACGAGTCTGTCTGTCTGTTACTCTCTCATTCTGTGTCTGTCTTTGACTCTATCTCTGTCTTTTTCTCCCTCTCTCTCACTCTCTGTCTGTCTGTCTGTCTCTCTCTCTCTCTCCCTCCCTAATTTATCAAGTATTTCATTTTGACAAATTTGTGGTTGCTTGTTCATGCAGAGATTTGGAGTTAATATGGTATTTTCTAAAGCTTCACAACTATAAGTGGTAAAAGATATGAAATCCTCTATCTAAAATACTAATATATGTTTTACAATTAGGCCTGAATTAGCCATCTCAGTCTCTATATCCTTTTCTTTTTTTTCCCCTCCCTACTGTGTCATGCATTTGATGATAAATGACAGTTGCACTTGGTGGAATTGTGGCATGGAAGAAAAAGATGTGAAGCATTTTGAGTACATCCTTATCATCTACATGTGATGAAGAATAAATTAATGTCTGTTGTTTCTGATTAAACTTGGCAGATAATGAACTTCTGCTTGGCTTTGGTCTGGAAAATATGTTGGTTGCCTATGTTGATTTAAAGGTAATATGGGGTTTAGGGTTCAAAATGAAAAAAATTAGCATGACATTTGAGAAAATTGTGTTAATCTGGGGGATGTACTGTTGTCCACACTAGTATGTTGTTTTCAGTCAATCTTGTATCCTCCTTTCCAAGATATATTTCTTGCTGGAGGCTTCAAAGACCCTAAATAGTGGACGTTTTGGTATAGTATAATAATTGGATAAAGGATGGCAGCAATATAAGCTTTAAATGTTGTCAGCGAAACATGATGCAACAAGAAATTAAAGTAAAAGAGGGAGAGAAGGGAGTGAAAAGAGTTGGAGGAAGGAAAGATGTAACAAGTGATGAAGTTCCCTAGTTTGACACCCAAGTATCCCAGATCAGTATACGTGATGTTTGAGTGATATAAGACCTTATAGGCACTATGAGCTAAGTCAAAGGCATTAATTCAATGGGAATGAGAAGATGTTGAAGAAGATTCAGTGATCCTGTATGGTCAATGGCATCAGAGAAGGTGCACTTAGTGGCTTTAAAACAACTTTCTTTGTAAAGGAAGGAATGTAGAAGCTATTAAACAAGAAAGATTACAGCAAGTGCTGTTCTCCAAGAGCTAATAAAAAAAAAAAGCCTTCGTCGACCTGACTCCTTTGGCTTCCACAATGCACCAAACCAGAAAATAGCTGACTTCAACAACCGTCCATGTACAATCTATGCTAGATCTGACCAACGGCTGTTAGTTCGGTTTGCCTAGTTGCATTCAAGGGAGGAAGGTGAGGCATTGAGATCAAGTACGGTTGAAGTTTAGGAAATCTCTTTGAATGGATGAGAGACCCTTGCTTGAGGGCATGAATGAATTGACAAGAGAATTAAATTATCAGAAAAGAAGGGTACCATATAATTCTACCAAGTCCCACTTTCACTCAACCAGCAAGTACAATACCAATAACAGCGGATTCAAGACTTTCAACCTGTGCAGCCTCTGAACAAATGGATTTAAGCAGTTGGGATCAATAAGTTGGTATCATAGCGGTTTCCTAGTCAAAATTTGTAGAAGTAATTGCTATGCTTGAAGGGTGGGAGGCACCTGTGGAAACGATAGAATCCTACATGGCTTGGTCTGATCCTGGGTTTTCGTTGATTGGATTGGACATAATAGGGGGTGATTTTAGTGACATATTTATCCAGCATTTGTTATTCAGTTAATAAACTTATCAGGTTCCTAATAACAACATCACTTGAGCATTTTGTACTTCTGTCTTGGGCTTTGAAAAGTTGTGGCAATTGCATCTTTGATCGGTGTACTAATTGGTGTGCAAGTTGGCCTAGCTTAACTCTTGTCAAATTCAGGTCTGAGCCCGAGCTTGAGGCACGGAAAACAGCCCCACATCCAACAGGATAGTGACAAAACAAATTTATCATAATGTTATTGGCTCTCCGTATTTCGATCAGACCGCCAAACTTGAAGATCAAGTGGATAGAGATATGGAGATTTCGTTGGCTCGATTAAACTATTTGTCGATGCAAGCCAAAGGATTCACTGATCAGAGTGATTTCCAAGCAAGTTTAGCAACACGACGCAAAGTTTCCTTGTTTTTGCATGTTTTGAAATGAGCGAACCACCTGTCCGACAAACTGTTGCTTTTGACACTGGTAACAGCCTATTTTGGGTCCATTGCGATAATCCAGTGGGTGGTGATGGTGAATATTCATTGGATCCACCCTATAATTCTGCAGGGTCCTCAACTTTTTCAAATTTAGCAGACTGTCATGAATATTGTAACAATGCCACTCAGTGCTTTTGTGACAAAAAATCATGCGAATATTATATGCAATATGGAACTGGATTTTCAAGCGGGATACTTGCGTCTGAGAGATTTATTTTTAAGTCCTCCCACAACAAATGATCACTTATCAACGATGTAATTCTTGGATGCTCACATGAAGCAGAAACAGCAGCCAATAACTATAATGGACTGCTTGAACTTGTGACAGCAAAACATTCTTTACTATCACAATTGGGATCTGGTGAATTTTCTTATTGTATTGAAAAATTAGGTGATTCTAGCTATGATAATACTTTTCTTCTTTTTCTTTTTCTTTTATCTTTTCTTTCTTTTTTTTTCCTTCTTCTCCACAGTTAAATGGTTTTACTCCAAAGGCTAACATGAATCAGCACTGCTCCAGGCGATTTAGAGCAGTCAAAGATGCTGCTGATACCCCATGCAATATTGTGGAGGGACAGAGCAAATCCCCATGACCATGTTCATGTTTATTCTTGCCGGATCTTCTCTTATAGCCACAGCTGAAAAAAGGACGTGCTGCCTCTTGCGCCACAAACGCCGGCCACTACCGGCTACCACCATTGACTGGTAAAACTTCCAACATATCTTCACTACAGACCTTATTTAAAGCTGGCTTGAGAGGGATGTAAAATTCATGAGACGATCCTTAGGACCCATAGCACAGTTATCAAGCACTAGTTGACCACGAAAATATGAATGCATAAGCATTATTTGCGGCAAAATCGGAACTTTATTTAAAACCCTAACTAAAAATGGTGGTGATGAAGATGACACTGAGAGGGTGATCCGACAGTGACGACACAAACAAGTAATAAATTCCGCAAGAGAAGACTGAAAGAGATTAGAGACTCATAAAGTAGTATTGCTATTTCGATTAATCACCAGTTTGGATATTCGTGGCATGTATTCGGACTTGTTAGAGTTCATTTGAATCATGGGATGACACATAATTAGATTGACACCACAAGAAAGATGAAAGTGATAATAGATTCTTGTTTTGATTTACCAAAAAATACGAATAAGCATGCAAGAGAATTGAAATAGGAAACTATGTTTGGAGAAGTTTTAATTGGGGTGGAATTCTCAAATTTGAGGACTCTTAAGTGGAGTGAAAAACGTGGGAGGAAATGTGGGGGGAAACGTGAGATAATGATTAGAGGATTTGTAGGAGTGGTTGTAGGATAAGTTAAGAGATAGTGGAAATATTTTAAATTTAAATTTAATTGATGATAAGGTTGGTTATAATCCACTACTTTTTATGTATTAAAATAAATACAAAAATCTAGAAAAAAGAACGAGAAGTTTAGAAGCCATTGAGAGGGTCTCAGCTAAAAACGTCTTCTGCAATACATTAATTGGAGTGGACTCTAATTTGGAGTGGGCAACACGGGAGGAAATATGGATGGAAACGTGGGGTGATGATTAGAGGATTTGTAGGAGTGGTTGTAGGATGAGTTAAGAGATAGTGGGAATATTTTAAATTTAAATTTGATTGGTGATAAGATTGGTTACAACCCACTACTTTTTATATATTAAAATTAATACAAAAATCTAGAAAAACGAATGAGAAGTTTAGAAGCAATTGAGAGAGTCTCTGCTAAAAACCCCTTCTGCAATACATATAGATATAGATATTGATAGTTGGCTATTATATCACAATGCACAACAAATTGTTCCCTCCTTTTGCTGCGTTTTTCTTTGAAACCTTTGATATATGCTGTTAGAGGGGATTTACGACGTTTTCAAACCTTTTTCCTTACCTTAACTTTTACCATTACTTGCCTATTTCCAAGTACAAAACTAAACAGCCCCACATCCAACAGGATAGTGACAAAACAAATTTATCATAATGTTGTTGGCTCTCCGTATTTCGATCAGACCGCCAAACTTGAAGATCAAGTGGATAGAGATATGGAGATTTCGTTGGCTCGGTTAAACTATTTGTCAATGCAAGCCGAAGGATTCACTGATCAGAGTGATTTCCAAGCAAGTTTAGCAACACGACGTAAAGTTTCCTTGTTTTTTGCATGTTTTGAAATGAGCGAACCACCTGTCCGACAAACTGTTGCTTTTGACACTGGTAGCTGCCTATTTTGGGTCCATTGCGATAATCCAGTGGGTGGTGATGGTAAATATTCATTGGATCCACCCTATAATTCTGCAGGGTCCTCAACTTTTTCAAATTTAGCAGACTGTCATGAATATTGTAACAATGCCACTCAGTGCTTTTGTGACAAAAAATCATGCGAATATTATATGCAATATGGAACTGGATTTTCAAGCGGGATACTTGCGTCTGAGAGATTTATTTTTAAGTCCTCCCACAACAAATGATCACTTATCAACGATGTAATTATTGGATGCTCACATGAAGCAGAAACAGCAGCCAATAACTATAATGGACTGCTTGAACTTGGGACAGCAAAACATTCTTTACTATCATAATTGGGATCCGGTGAATTTTCTTATTGTATTGAAACATTAGGTGATTCTAGCTATGATAAAAATATACTAATCGTTGGAAAGAATTTAGCCACTGGAGGAGATTCAACTCCTTTTCAGATTGATGGCTTCAAATACTATGCAGACCTAGAAGGCATAAGTTTTGGAGGTAAGATGCTTGACATTGACAATGAACAACTGAAAATATCAAATCATAAAGGTGGTGCAGCTTTTGATTCTGGTGCAAGTTCTAGTGCTCTTCAGCCAATGGCATAGTGGAAATTACACAGAGAGATTATAGACTTGGTTGGAGATGCACTTGAGAGAGCGGACTACCATGGGACATATGTAACTAAGCTTTGTTACAGGGGAAATCTCTACACAGATTTCATTGGGGTTCCTACCGTACCACTTCATTTTGCTAATAATTCAACAGTGGAACTGGACTACGAGAAAATCTTTCAACAATATTCTGGTAAGGTATGCTTTAATGTGGTGGACGCTTCATAACTAGGATATAAATTTAATTTTATTGGGATTAATCTCCAACAATATTTCTACTTGGCATTTGATTTGGAAACTTACCAACTTACTTTTCAAGGAATGGACTGTAGAGCTTTGTGGAATGATTAATACACTTGTATTCGCAGTGTGATTTGATTCCTTCCAAGCTGAACCCGTAATGGAAGGATGGGATAAGTAGTTTGCCTTACATGTAATAGAATTCATCTCTCAAGTGTGGGTCAAATGTTGAATTTCATGAACAAAATCGGTGTTC